CATTCTTGCAAGAGAGAGTAAACATAAGCCACTGTAAGAAATTCCATACGTTAATGCCTCATCATTATCATAAGATTGAGCATCTGATGTCTCATTTACCATCTCTTGCTCTATTTCTTGGGTAGACGGAATTCTGCTTAGTTCTGTGTCAAAACGTTTCGCTATCTCAGTTTCATGCACACGATACTTTGCTGCTAGAGTGCGAATGCAAGATTTTCTAACTATATTAGAAATCAAGAGCTTTACCTCATTAAAGTTATCACACTCAGCATACCATCTAAGCCAACGGCGAACAATACCCGAAAACCAATCAATGATTTGGTCATTATCTTGTAAGATTAGCAAAGAGGATGTGCGGGGATAACCATCAGATGTGGTCAATCCATATCGTAGGAGACGCTTTTTAATGGCATTAACAGGAGCAATTATCTCAGTGATAATGACAGATTCGGTGGAAGAAGCAGCACTTGGCAAAAGGGAAAGAGTAGAAGTGGTCTCAGAAGAAACATACGTTTTCACCTGTCTCTGAAATTCATAAAAGGAGTTTCTTAGTTCTTGGGGTAGAGCTGGCTCTGCAACATACTTGGACAGGATAGCATCCTCACTCTCTGCTGCTTTGGCTTTGACATCTTCCATCCATATCTTCAGCAAGTGCTTGTACCAATGATCTGTTTCCATACCGGATTTACGGAAATGGGAAATTTGGCTCAAAACAGACCTACAGTCAGCTAAATGCTCAATCTCCGACTCCTTTACCTTCTTCAGACCATGACCCAACCATTTCTTTCCTATACTAACCGTCCCAGCATTCCAGGCCTCTTCTTTTTGTAAACCAAATAAAGCAACTTTTTCCTTCAACTTGTGGACTGCTCTTGTAGCAGGACTTTCTCTTACATTTCTTCTAACTAAAGTGCCCAAAAAGTGGATCCCATGCGGCATTTGACATGATAATAACTCTGCTCGATCATCCACATCCAAGTGCAAAGACTTCTGCAAGTAATTTAGAACCTCAGATTTGAAATCAAGAGCAGCATCCTTAGAACCAGCCACTGAAAAAAATATCTCATCCATGAAACGACAAGAATGGACCCTTATGCTAAAACTCTCTTCACCGGCACAGCCACGATCATTACCTTTCAGGTGTCTCCTAAACCAGCTGCGCAGCTTAGACTGGGGCTTTTGATCATAATGTAAGCTTGGACTGAGAGCTTCATATTTCATTGACAATCTGTAAAATTCATGGTCAAATTGGTTGAGATAAATATTCATTAATATAGGAGACAATACGCCCTCCTGTGGAAGGCCATGACCTTTTGGGAATCCACCAAACTCCAAGTTGAGCACATTGGCATTAAACATGCTTTGGATCATAGCATAGAGGCTAGGGTCTTCTACTTTATCCTCCATCACAGTTATAAGTTTACCAAGTATACAAGCATCAAGCTTTTTATTTATGAGCAATGTAAACCACCAATCAGGATTAGAAATCTCCTTGCTGATGTACTTCAGAGCTGTAGAATGCCCCCTCCCACTTCGATAACCATGTGAAATCTTAGAGAAATCGGGTTTGTAAACAACTTCCAAAACAATTCTGATTGCTTCCTGAATGACCCTCAGATTTATATTTGGAAGTACCAAAACTTCTTCCCTTGCACCCTTTTTTGAGATAGAGAAGGTATTGGCATTAACATCAAAACTCCCACAACACAGCTCTTTAGCAATAGAATCAAAATAGGTATTATCATCATTGAATGCTATATTAATATTTGAGTTGAGTCTAATACAATCATAAGCATCCTGAAGAGTTTCTGGATTGGAAATGACTTTTGCCATTAGGTTTCGAAACTTCCCATTGACGTATTGTTCCTTCACCCTCTTCTTTATGCGCAATTCAAGAGACCTCTTGAGCTCCATTCGGCTCTTGGGTCTTCTCTCATCCATATGAGAAGACTCCTCTACAAGATTGGCTAAGTTTTCTGCCAATTTCATTTCATGAATGCCACTATTGATATCACCATCAGCATTAGCAACCGTGGAGTGATCTGCAAATTCTTGTATTCTTTCTGAAGCTCTACTAAAATCAGCTGCTGCGACCGGACTTTTTTCTGAGTTTGAATGAGTGTCTGACTGCACAAGGACCTTTTGCACCTTATCGCAGAGGTGAGCAGTGAGGGAGGTAGCTTTTCTGGCAATAGCGAGCCTTTTTTCATAAGACATAGAAGAAAATGTTGCTGCTGCGACTATTGCTAGAGAGGGGGCAGGGCCACCTTTGAGCTTCATGAGGCCCTGTTCAAAAATAAAATGCAGGCATGCATCCAGTTATAGTCAGCAGAACCCTCAATTGCATATGTCTGAAACATTTTGTCGAACATGTGGCCTGCATTCATTTTATGGGGAGATTTTGAAATTTCTTCCTGTACAGAGTTACAACACAAGAGGCATTGAAAACATAAGAAAACTTTACAGAAACCTACAAGTCAAGAGAACACAGTACATATTATGACCAAGCAAGAAAAACTAACGATGGCTCACCGACCACTTGATTTCCTATTTGTTTGATTAATCCTCATGCAGCATACTAGGAGCATTAGAGTTTAGATTAGATGAAGAAAACTATCACCAAGGCATCTTGATAGAAGAGAATCAGAAATTTGATTTAGACAATATAGTATAGTATATTTATCAATAAGCATTCTGGAGGAAAGCAAAAATTGGAAGGGATGAGTTTCAAATTGGACCAAATCAAAAATGAGAATAACACAAAATTTTAAGAACTTCGCTGATTTGGATCCTTCTTGATATCATATTATTTGTATCATTTGAAAAAGGACATGATAAGGAATTGGAATGGTACAAAACAAGGAATTCCTGACATACAATATTTAAATGTAGTATCATAACTTCTGAAGTTCTGATGAATATACGAGATCAAGATAGATAAGAACATTAAAGTCTATAAGACATGTCTAATCTACACCACTAGAATACCGAAAAAGATAGCATGAACACCACATGTGAGATGGTAGTCAACCCGAAACCAACATGTAAGAATCGAGACATGGAACACAATTAGGTTAGTGATGTAAATTTCCATTTTATTAGTTAAATCTTGTTTTTTTTATAAACAGGATTTTAAGAGGGAAAAAAAATAGAGTCAGTATGAACTTATTCAACTATAACCAAGAGCACCAAGAGCAACCCCAGAAATTAATTAGCTACAAATATATAAATCATGGTCATCTTAAAAGCTTTCCTTAAGCAGAAAAAAGACCCGTATTGTAGGATTTCAGCAAAATGTAAAGATACACTGGGCTAGATAACATAAAATGTTAAGATTCGAGGATGATTACTTGCTGAAATGATAACTGACGGAAGGTTTAAAGAAAGAAAAACCGAACTATAATGCAAACAATTCAACTTCACCTGCATATATCGCACCACAGTGCTAGTGTAATCAACTGCTCTCCTCTGGGTAAGCTTTCTCATCCTTTTTGCAGCAAAACCGTCAGGATGAGCTACAACCAGTGTTTTCAAAGGCATGCCTTCGCGCGCGTCGGAGCGAGGCGGCAGGAAATCGCCCGAGGCGGTCGGCTGTTTCGCGAGTTGCACGTTTAGCGCGGGGAAGGCGTGAGGAAGCGTTGCAAGGAGGAGCGAGGCGGAGCAAGGCGCGCCAGATCTGGACACTCTAAGCCGGAAGAAATTTTGCGACTCTGCAAATTGGCTGCGGCTCTGCGAGGAAGACGACTCGCGTGTTTTTTTTTTAGGTTTATTGTAATGAAACGACGTCGTTTCGATTGAAGTGTTTTTAAAAAAAACTTGAAGTGAAACGACGTCGTTTCACATGGAGTGTTTTGAAAAAAAACAAAACAAACACCGAAGTTTCTGTTTTTTTTTTTGTTTTTTGGTCTGAACCATGAGGTGGTCCTGGATGGGCCCCAACTATGGGTGGCACCTTTAAACCTTAACCACAACCCAGACTAATCCCCACTCACACCGGGTCGGCCCGTAAGGGGTAAAGTGTTGGCCAAAATGGTGACTCCGTACGAGAGCAGGGATCGAACCCCTGACCTCTCTTAAGGAATGAGAGTGCCGAACCACTCACACCAACCACCTTGGTTCTGTTTTTTTTTTTAGTAATGCTATTTAGACACACAACATTGACCACTTTAGCTGACCATCTTATGTGGGAATTGATATGTCATGCCAAGTCAATTAATGAATGTTGCCATGTCAATTAAAAAACCCTAGTGTTTCTAGTAAGTAGCCTCATGGCAATATTCATTAATTGACATGGCATGACACATCAGTTGCCACATAAGGTGGTCAGCTAAGGTGGTCAATGTTGTGTGTCTAAATAGCATTACTCATAATTTAATTGTATTGTATTATTCATAAATTTTTCTTATTAAAATAAAATTAATGTTCAAAAGGCTTACGCCTCAATGCTTCAAGGCTTACGCCTCGTATAGCGCTACTAAAAACGCCTCACCTTTGAAAACATTGGCTACAACAGACATGACATTTGTCATCCATTAAGAAAGAAACGGAAAAATCATTATCTACACTAAACTTCTAACAAAATTCTACTGCCACTTTCCAACCTTCGTTTACACTTTCAGCCTCACTGGCACGCCCTTGTAAATTGCCAATTTAAAAACTTCAGGATCCAAAACCAGGTCTAGGGGTCTAATTTACAACTCATTTCTTCAAAACCGTGTACTTTAAAAATGTAAATTTCAAAGTTGAAAACCCCAGTCAATTAAAGAAGTAAAATGCAACCAAAATCTTTTCTAGGATTTCCTAACATACTTGACTTCACTAGGTAAAACACTTCCATACACTTGAAATTCTTTTATTTTCTTTTCCTTTCCATTTTCCTAGAAACCAAACAGAACAAAACCAAAATAAGAAAGCCAAAAGGCATAATTTGGTACAAACCATCGTAAGGAGGAAAAGGAGGAGCGGGCCCATCGTTTCCGTTTACGGTACATCATCTCAATTCAATCGCCTTTTAGATCATATGTATCTATCATATGTTGCCAATGTTGTTCGAACGCCACTGGTGTCAAACCACCATGCACACAATAGCTAAACTCCCTTACAATTTCTGGGTTATTCACATTGGAGTTCACATTCCTCATGATGTGCCATGAACATAAACGATGATGTGCATCGGGAAAAACTTCATCAATCCCTGCGCGCATTGCCTCATCCCCGTTCGTGATAATAGATATAAGCTTCTTGTCCTTCACAGAAGTCAAAAAAGTTCTGAGTACCCAACGATATGTATCAGCAGTCTCATCAACAAAAAATGCACAACCAAAAACAGTAGTCGCATTATGGTTGTTTACACCAACAAACACCACTAACGGCTTGTCATATACATTGGTCTTGTACGTGCTATCAAATATCAACACATCCCCAAAGCAACAATAATTGTGTAGAGATTGAGAGTCTCTCCAAAACAAATTTGTCAATCTATTCTCCTCATCTACAATAAACATGCAAACAAATTCCGAGTCTGCTATTGCCTTGGCATTCATGTAGCTTATTGCTGCTTGTGCATCACCATCCAATACCACTCTCGAAATCCATCATGTTATATAAATCCTTACTGGTGAACCCCACTTTCATGTATCCACCTACTTGGTTAACCATATAGTCGTATGTTTGACTGGTTTTAATATAGGCTTTTCTCTTAGAAATAGAATATGCTATGTTGGATTGCATAACACACCAGTGGGAACTAAGAAAAGGCACCTCATGTGAGTTACCAAGTCAGTGGCTGTGCTCCATTACAAATTTATTCACAATATAAGCATCCCGTTTAGGACAATACTTCACAGCAAATGCAATGTGACAATACTTTCTAGTCTCTTTCCTTGGTGTACGAACCATATCCTCTTTATTCGTCCATTTCTTTGATCTACTCCCTTCTTTTGAGCACGCCCATTGTCTTCCCATCACAACCCCACCCTCGCTACGTCTCAAATGACTTCTTCTTATGCTAAAACTAATTGCAAGAGCATAGTTCCAATAAAATCTTTCTGCTTCCTCAAAATTTGCAAACTCCCTCCCCTCTAAATCAGCAATGCTCATATTTGGGAAGTTTAACCTATCATACTCAAAGTGTCTGCTAATCTCAGTAATTTCTTCTATTCTGCCGTCCAAAAACTGTAAAGATGGGACATTTTCAGTTTCTTCAAGTGACTCAGCCTCCGCAAAATAACCTTCACTGTTAGGTATTAAGTTTTGGCCTTGAATTCCACTCTTTGTTCTTGCTTCTACATCCATTTCTTGAAAATAGGCAACATGTCTTACATGGTATAATTAATATGAAAATAAATGGATACACATCAATTGCATTTAGTAGAAGTATAAACATACAATTAAATTATGAAGGATTAGTCATTAATGAGAGATTCTACGTTTCATAATTGCGCACATATAATGGCAATTGCGCGACAAGAATGCAAAGAGACTGCTATGTTTTTCAATTGCAAGACGACAGTGCAATTAGAAGTAACTGTTTGTCAATTGCATTGACAAATCACATATGTTCTCAAAATTGAAGAGGCTACCAATAACATGGCAATATGGATACATTAATTGCAAAATCGGACTAACCAATTGGTAATTGGATTCAAAATGACATATTGAAGTACCTCTTGCATTTCCATTACCAAAATGCAAGGCTACAAATATCGTGGCATTTGCATTACAAGTAATTGTAATAACAGACTAATCAATTGGTAATTGCATTCTAATTCATAAAAAGGCTTCCCAATTGCATGCCAAGTATGTACACAAATTGCAAAAACCCCCTTACGATTTGGTAATTGCATGAGTTGAAGATGAACTCAATTTAAGATATCATTATATCATTACAATTAAGAAATTCTACCTAATGTTTTTTGAATGAGTCACAAACTTTTCAACATCAACAATATGCCCAACATGAAAGAAGAGAAAGATATTGACATTAATCATATTGTGTTTCTTGTCTGTGAAAAAATTCAAATTACAATGGTTTTCTTTTCAGCAAAACAAAAACCCATTAACCCCAACAACAGAATGGAATGTTTTGTACTCACAGTGACTTTGACGATAGAGCAATCGTTGGCTTCAACAAGTTTTTTTTGTTGTAAAAATGGGGGCTAAGCCCAGGAAGCAACTAAGCAGAAATTAATGCAGACCTCAAGATGCCAATATGATCAGCCTCAAGAACAGAAAATATCCCCTCAGTACGCATCTCCTCTAAGTAGTAGGGGACGAGAGGGAGAGATGACCGAGAGAGTCGGTGGGATTGCCTCAACAGTTCAAGATCTTCTTTGCCCTTCTTTGTATCATTCTATTTTTCATTTTTTGTTTAATTTTGTGTTTGTTCTCTTTTACCTACAACAACTATTTTAACTGGTTACCACCATTCAACGGTGTGGATTTAACCCACATCCCCACTTACTCATCTAATGGTTCATAATAGGGGCGCATGGATACACCACACGCCACTGTAGAATTTTCGTCAAATTTGAAGCAACAAACTGAGAAATTTGAGCATGCTAAATAAAAAAGTTTGAGCCAAAAAGAGCTTAGGTCTCTGTGTTGAAGCAGGTTTTGAATCAAAAACATAAGCGAGTTAGGGCAATCGGAAACTTGATGTTTTACTTGGGTCCTTGTCTTCAAGCGGGTCATGTTCTCTCAAAATGGGCTGATATTTGCACTTAAATCCCTTGTTTCCATCCAATGGTGGAAATTACAATTATGCAACTGCTACTAGAAATCTAATATGAGTTTTGCACATCAAATTAAGGGTGGGCACGATCCGATTTGGTTCGGTTTTCATCTAAAATCAAAATTAGTACCTGTATTATTCATCTAATCCAGTTCAGTTCAATTCTTATAAAAATTCATTAACTAAATTGAACCAACCCGAACCAGTTTAAATTTAATTTGGTTTTAATTTTTCCGATTTGAACCAACTCAAAGGCCAATTGATTATTTTCCTTCATAAATAATGAAAATAAAAAAAATATTCATAATAATCGTAGATCAAGATCAAAAAAATTATCAATTGGCCTTAGAGTTAGTCTAAACCGAAAAAATCGAAACCGAATTGGATCTAAATTAGTTTGAGTTGGTCTGATTTAGTTAATGAATTTTTATATGAACTGAACTGAGCCGAATTGAATGAACAATACGAGTGCCAATTTTAATTTTGAATGAAAACTGAATTGAACCAAACCGAATTGTACACGCCTCTAATTTGATGTGCAAATCTCATATTAAATTTCTAGTAGCAGTTGCGGAGTTGTAATTTCCATCATTGGATGGAAACAACGGCTTAGATTTAAGTGCAAATCTCGGCCCATTTTGAGTGAACATGACCTGCTTGAAGACAAGGGACCCAAGTAAAACGTCAGGTTTCCGATTGCCCTAACCCGCTTATTTTTTTGTTCGAAATCCCTAACCCGCTTCAACAGAGAGACCCAAGCTCTCTTTTGGCTTAAACTTTTTTATTCAGCATGCTCAAATTTCTCAGTTTGTTACTTCAAATTTGAACTCTCTTGGATGTTTTCATCTTCACTCTTCCGTCTGCAAGAACCAAACCACTAGCATTTTTCATAAACCCGCTTCAGTCAAAGGAGGTTTATTCAGCATAAGAAAGGTACATATTTCTCCATTTCTCAGCTTGCTATGGTACACTGATGTCGTCACGAGGACTTGGTTTTTTTTTTCTTTTTTTCTTTCTTTTAAATTTAGGGGATGGTGCATTTTTGGTTGAACTAGTTCTTCCGTTTGATTGTTAATTGTAAATTTGGAATTGAAAAAAGGCATTTAATTTAAGAGACATCGATAATTGCTTATCTTGAATTATCTTGTTTTGGCTTCTGGTTTTTCCCAGTTGTCGAAAACTTTGACTCTCAGGTTTTGTTGTCACTATGCATTTACTCATTATTTGCATTTCTCTATCTTTTAGGATTAGGGTTAGGGTCAGTTCTTCGATTTGGGGCGACAATGATGTACCCTGATCCTCAACAGCAACACCACCAACAGCAGCATCAGCATCAGCAGCATCAGCAGCAAGGTGGAGAATTTCACAGGGGCCCCCCGCCTCCGGCGCCAATGATGCGTCAGCCGTCGGCCTCTTCGACTAATATGGCCCCAGAGTATCACCACCCATCTGGCCCCGCTCCTCCTCTTCCTCCTTACGATGGTTTGTTCCAAATTATGCCTCTTGGCTTTCTTATTTTGGTTTTGTTCTGTTTGGTTTCTAGGAAAACGGAAAGGAAAAGAAAAGAAAATAATTTCAAGTGTATGGAAGTGTTTTACCTCGTGGAGTCAAGTATGTTAGGAAATCCTAGAAAAGATTTTGGTTGCATTTTACTTCTTTTATTGACTGGGGTTTTCAACTTTGAAATTTACATCATTAAAGTGCACGGTTTTCAAGAAATGAGTTGTAAATTAGACCCCTGGACCTGGTTTTGGATCCTGAAGTTTTTAAATTGGCAATTTACAAGGGCGTGCCAGTGAGGTTGAAGGTGTAAACGATGGTTGGAAAGTGGCAGAAGAATTTTGTTAGAAGTTTAGTGTAGATAATGATTTTCCCGTTTCTTTCTTAATGGATGACAAATGGCATGTCTGTTGCAGCTCATCCTGACGGTTTTGCTGCAAAAAGGATGAGAAAGCTTACCCAGAGGAGAGCAGTTGATTACACTAGCACTGTGGTGCGATATATGCAGGTGAAGTTGAATTGTTTGCATTATATTTTGGTTTTTCTTTCTTATAACCTTCCTGCAATTATCATTTCAGCAAGTAATCATCCTCGAATCTTAACATTTTATGTTATCTGGCCCAGTGTATCTTTACATTTTGCTGAAATCCTACAATACACGTCTTTTTTCCGCTTAAGGAAAGGTTTTAAGATGACCATGATTTATTTATTTGTAGCTAATTAATTTCTGGGGTTGCTCTTGGTGCTCTTGGTTATGGTTGAATAAGTTTATACTGACTCTATTTTTTTTCCTCTTAAAATCCTGTTTATAAAAAAACAAGATTTAACTAATAAAATGGAAATTTACATAATAGGGACAGGGTCTTCCATGATTTAGATGTCAATATAACCACACTCAATAACTTCAAACCAACAAAAAAACATCAGTGAAAGCATAACAAGATCTAAGAATGAGCTGCTCTCCAATCTGGAAAAAAGCTCTCCTCCCGCAAATAATCCATCTCCTCCCTCACATCATAAAAAGCTCTCCTATTCCATTCCATTGATATTATTTTGGGAGCTTACCATCATAGCACATATTCCTAGAACCACACTGCTATTCCTCCCACTTAAGAACTTAAGCCTCTCAGAAAATACGGTATCACTTGAAGCTGGAATAAACCAGCACAGATTGGGCTTCCTTAACAACCTTAACCTTAAAATAATCCAACTGGCAATGAAGCACTCGTTGCGTTCCTTTTCTGCACAGAACACAACACTGGGGAAAAACAACCAAATTTGTTTTATGTTCTTTAGATGTTGGCATCACTA